AAGCGGCAACTTCGGACGGATGTAGCCAGGCGCGCCCGCTCCCTCCCCACCGCCCCAGCCCCGTCACCTCGGCCAGTGGCCTGCGAGGCGGCCCCCTTGTCCTCGGGGCTGCCCTCCCTGCGCCTGGGCTCCTTGGGGGAGGCAATACGGTCCGGCTCTTCACCACGCCTGGCCGTGCATCGTGGCTCCAGTCACAACTCGCGGCTGCCTGGGCGCGCAGCCCCTCATCGCTCGACCCACGATCCGGCTGCCTGCGTCCAACCCCACAGGCACTCGACTTTCTTCCCTTTTCCTCCTTGTCCTCGGGGCTGCCCTCCCTGCGCCTGGGCTCCTTGGGGGAGGCAATACGGTCCGGCTCTTCACCACGCCTGGCCGTGCATCGTGGCTCCAGTCACAACTCGCGGCTGCCTGGGCGCGCAGCCCCTCATCGCTCGACCCACGATCCGGCTGCCTGCGTCCAACCCCACAGGCACTCGACTTTCTTCCCTTTTCCTTTTCCCCCCTCTTTTCTCGTTGTGGTGACAGATCTGGCTTTCCTTTCTAGTCTCCTTTTTCTCTTTTTTTCCCTCTGCAGCGGGAGGAGTCGGGGGCAGCTTGGAAAGCTTTAAAATAACGTCCTGGCGCAGCAGCTACTGTAACCAGCGTGTGAAACAGTTCGGCGCGGACTGCCGCTCTCGCCGCCCGGGCCGCAGCTCCTCGCTGGCTCTCTCTGGGCCCTCGCCCCTCGGTTCCTGGTCTTCCTGGCCCAGTCCGCCGCCCCAGCGCGTCTCTCTCCAGCTCCAGCGGCTCGGTCACTGCTCCAGGCTGTTGGCTGAGCTCTGGAAGCCCCCTCGCCTTAATGCAGCGCCCGCCGACGTCACGGCGGCCCGCGACCAATCAGCGCCTCGCGGTCCCTCTGTAAACCATTCTGCAAAGCTCGGCCGGGGAGAGTGCGGGGAGACCGCGTTTAGAGGATCAGTGGCGGCGGCACCCTCGGCCCCGCGCGGCGCGGAAGAAGGGCAGCGAGGTGCCTGGCCTCCTCCTACTCCGGTAAGGCGTCAGTTTCGGTGGGAGGGGCAGAAAGGGCCAGAATAGGCGCAGCCGGAGGCCAGAGTTCTGCAGGAGAGTAGGGCAGCCCCAGAGCAAGCCGGTCTAAGGTCGGGGTGCAGCCGGGTCCGGAAACCCGGGAGACCCCGGGCACTGTTTGGCTTTGCGATTCCCTGGGTTGTTGGCATGTTCCTCTCGCTGCTTTGGTCTGAAAGTTTGCCCCAACCTCACAGCGAGTCCTTGGAGAGATAGGGGGCGCTTGGCAGCTGAATCTCCCTCTTCACGGGGCACGGGGTGGGGGAAGGAGTGGGTGGAGCAGTGCCTCGGGTGAGGAGTTGCAACCCCTGCAAGAAGTTGTGAGAAAATTGTGATCCGGAGACACCTTTTACAAACAAAAACAAACGACTAAAGCACGGGGTGGGGGAAGGAGTGGGTGGAGCAGTGCCTCGGGTGAGGAGTTGCAACCCCTGCAAGAAGTTGTGAGAAAATTGTGATCCGGAGACACCTTTTACAAACAAAAACAAACGACTAGGCGGGAAACCGCGGGGCTCCGGCAGCTGGGCGGCGAGGTCGTCGCTGCAGTGGGGAGGAGGAGGAGGAAGAGGAAGTTCCCGGGGACAACACGGAGGGGCTGCAATAGATGGAAGTGTTCAGTGCCCTGGCAGTGTGGGCCCAGCTTCCAGTCTTCCCTTTTCCAGGCTTCGGGTTGGCACCAGCTTCCAACGACAACAGCCGACCATACCTCCCAGTGGTCACACCTTAGGTGACACGCACATCCCTAATTCCGCTCCGGGTGAAAACTCGCGCCCGCCAAGGCGGATTTGTCTAGACGTGGTGGTCGGATTCGGGCCCTGAGAACTTGAGCATTCAAGAATCACTCGGGTTTTCTGGCACGCTCAAGTCAACCCCCAAATTCCGTTTTGTCCGCACCTTTTCTAGGTGTAACCCAGAGGTCTCCCTTCCTAGAGTCTGAAGGCGAAAGGGCTGGGTGGTATCCTACTCTTGTTCCCCAACTCTTTGTGTGTGTGTGTGTGTGTGTGTGTGTGTGTGTGTGTGTGTGTGTGTGTGTGTGTTAGGAAGGTTTAACCGACTGTAGTATGGAAGGAAGAAAAGGAGACCGGCCAGCCTGGGGTTAGCTGATGTTTTGGAACTGCCCTTTTGATCTCCTTCACTATGCAAGGGAAGCCTTTGAAACGGGTAGGGACTTAGTTAAGGGAAATGCGCCAAAAACGCAGTTGCAAGGAGCCTGGGCTGCCGGCGAATCTGGCGCTGCAAATAGAATACCCTCTTCGAACGAACTCGGAAGGCGCGACGGCGAGTTTGGCTCGCGTTCGGTGGGGCTTAGAGCTCTGCCAACGCCGCAGCGTCACCTTCTCATTGGAAATCGGAGTTGCCAAGGCCGCCCGAGCTCCTCTTCAACGTTCCACCCTGCCTGGACTTCCGGATCCCTGGCTTCTTAGGCTGTAACCGCACTTTCCTGCACTTAGGTCGGTGCGGGCTCCGAGCTGCGGGCCGGGGCGGAGCAGAGTGCTGGTTGACTCGTGCACCAATCCCTCCGTCAGTCTTTCCCAGGCCAGATCTCATCTTAAGGAACGGAGGAGGTGGTTTTCCCACCTAGCAGGCGGGCTCTGCGGGCTCGGACTTGGCTTCGCGCTCTCCCTGCGGACTCGACACTTCCCGGAGCAAACAGACCGGGACCCCCGCATTCTGGCACCCCCGGAGGCGCTAAGAGCAGCTCGGCGCCGGCTCCTCGCTTCCCACGCCGCGGACCCGGAGGCACCTCCTAGCCTGCTGCTGAGGTGAAGCCCTGGAGGAAGGGCCAGTCCAGCAGGGCGCTGTCCCTCTCCCCCAGCTGTCCCAGCACTCGTGGCTCGAAGCTAGAGTCCTCCACCCAACTGCCGCCTTTCTGGAATCTATAGCGGGCTCCAGTCCCAGGTGGCTGGCCCTGGCCCCCGCCCCCGCCCCAGCTGGGCTCCTTCTCATGCAAAGCAAAGGGGCGACGTCGTGGCGGCCCTCCAGGCCTCACGAGAGGGGGGCTGGGGAGAGGTTGTAGGGGACCTGCAGGGCGACAGCTGGACTTGGCTGCTGGCCCTTTCCAAATCCGAGGCTCGTGCCTTCCTCCGGTGGGTAGAAAGAGATTGTTCTCTAAATTTGTGGGTGCAAGGACTGTGGGACCTAGATGTAGGGGACAGAAGACCCCTCCGCGCTGAGGGTTTAGGGATAGAGGAGTTGGAGCAGGAATGGGATGCTGGCTCTAGGGCTTAGGGCTCTGCTTGCCCTGGCTTCCAGATGGCACAGTAAACAAGACCATAGCCCCAACCTGGTGTCCACAAATGTTGGAGGAGTGCGTGGCAAGGCTTGCCGGGTGGCACCTGATTCTAGGCTTAAAGTCCAGATTTAGCACCTTCACCACAAACAGCACACAAACAAATGTTTTTCCCCCCTCCCCCCCTCGTTTCCGTTGGGCTTTTATTTTAAAATATAATCCGTGGTGTGACACGGAGAGAAAAGTGACTCAGCTTTCTTAATTTGCCACCTCAGAAGCGACTTCATTTTAGTTCTGCATTGAACCGAAGTTGTCTTAAGCAAGAGCAGCAACCTTCTCTCTCCACCTACACTGCCATACTGTTCTGGTCACTCAGTGTCCCAGTTCTCAAGTATACAAGCCCTTTTTTACCCCAGGTCCTTCAAAGTCACACAGACCCACAGCCACTTTTTACAACCCAAGATGTGTGAATTCTGAACCAGTGCTGAGAGGTTCAGCTTTCACCCTGTGGCCAGAGAATCCTCAGCCCCACTCCCATGACACCCTTTTGAAAAGTCTCCAGCTCCGGCAAGCTTAGGAAGTGGCTTTCACAGCTCTGGTTTCTTCTGAGAAGCTCCCTGAAAATCAGCCAGAGAAGAAAGACCCTGTCTGGAAATGAGGGTGGAGTAATCTATCCCCAGGCATCCTGTTTGGGTGTGGAAGGTGCTCCCCTTTTTCTTTGTCAAGCCCCCTCCCCAAGTTCATGAGTGACTTGAGCAGAATAAGGACCCAGCCTGCCTAGTCTCTGTGGGCTAATACAGATCCCCAGAGCTGCAGTCACTCATGGCCTCTTCTTTTCTATTTGTGCTCTTGTCCAGCCACTGCCCCCAGAAAAGGGCTATGAGACCACAGAAGTACACACTTGGGGATATCCTGGCGGTAGGTGATTACCCTATGCAGAGCTATAGAAACTGGGTGTACCAAGCCCAGGAGGGAGGAAGGAATGAGCTATCCCAGTGCACTCCTGGACCCTGCTGGTTCGGTCTGGAGGCCATGCAAGCTCTGCAGGGACTCCTGAGGAGTGGCCTGTGTGATGCACAGAACTGTCAGGCTGGAGTCGTGGTTCTGATCCCTGACCTCTCTTGTCCTTCTCTTCTCTCACCTGACTCAGCCTGCCTTAATCTCACCTCATCACTCTCACAAAAAAGATAACTTATATGCAGTATTCTACTGTTATGTTACTGTCTCCCCCGGACCTAATAGTAAGGGGGTTGGAGGTGGGGAAGCCAATGGGTATTAACTCCATTTTCCTAGACAGGAAACCCACGTTAGGGGGCTTGCTCAAGATCAGTACACTGTTAAGGTGAGAAGTGGGGTGGGGGGAACCTTGCTCTGGCCGGGTGTGTACTTCACCTCTGGCCACCTTTTCCAAGTGGGGTTTGGGCATGGTGGAGGGAAATTGAGGCTGAGAAAGGGCATCAGCGGGCCAGGTGTCAAAAGGGGTCGTGGATAAAGGACACTGGCTTCCCAGGAGGGCTAGAAGGACCCTGGCCCCAGAGGAGGGGGCAGGTGGAGCCACAAGCTTGATCATGATGGTACCAGAGTTAGCCCTAGTGCAGAGCCAAACAGCAAAGACAGGATGTAAGTAGTCTTAAAGG